CACACCCACACCCACACCCACACCCACACCCACACCCACACCCTCTTTTCTACCAATAAGTTTTTCAGTTCTCAGAACTTTCCAGCCCTCTGTGTACATAAAGCATACAACATTTTATGATGAGTACGAATCAATAATGATCAATGCCAACCGATTGATTTTTTGAATTCTTGTTTGTACAGTTCCGATGGGAGAACAAAGAACGCAAATGTCATTATTGATGGAATGAAAGAAATGAAATAACCAATGAGATAGAACCATGAATTTCGCGCTGATTCCATACATTCAGATACAAATGATATAATCAGACGAGGAACAGTTGATGCAATAAGAAGAGCTGGTGAGATAAGTAAATGTTTATGGTATCGAATTTGTTCGCATAAATGTTTCTTGTATGATTTTGTTTTCTTGGATTTTGAACGGGTACTAGCTACGACAATAATAATAATTAAAGGTGAGATTGAATTAATTATGAAAGGTACGAACGAATGAAAGGAATTCACAACCCAGTCGAATATTTGCACAGGTGATGAATATTTGCTCACACACCATGTTCGTCGTTCATCTTCGTCATAAATCAAACGGCGATGAAGTGGATCAAATATGTGAATAGCACTATTGAAAATGATGGCTATCAAGATCATCGTTTTAGCCATGTGTCTACTCTTAGTTGAATTAAAGTTCACTCCTTTTAAGACATTGACTGCCCGTTCAAGGGCAACAAAAGCACTAAGCCAATCATAGGTACAGAGTAAAAATCGAAGAAGAAAGTCAATAGATAGACACTGAATATGAAAAAACGTGCGATTCTTAATTGAACCAATTTGTAATGCTAAGAGAAAGGAGAATTTTAATGTAAGGAATACAATTGTCAGGATAGAAATGATGGACGATGCATAAAGATAAAGACCACAACCAACATGACGTACCTGTTGTCGTCGAAACGTACAGAAACAAAGTAAACTATTGATACAACCGAATAGAAAAAGTATTGCAGTAAATATGATCGAAATTTTTACAATAGTACGCTGTTGGCTAAGATCAGTATTCTGGCGGATGTGATAACCCAAAATAATATCTAACGAAAGAGTAGATCCGATGCTCGAGAATTGACATCTTGATCCGAAATAACATCGATCACAGGTACACGAGAACGATGTTGGACATAAATGATCATCAAGAAAACAATGTCCTTGATTTTCACAAAAGTTCTCTCCTTCACAATCATAAGTGACATTATGATTGAATTCGAAACAATTGGTTTGTCGATCACGAGTACATAAGCAAAAATGTACATCATCATAGAAACAATTCAGTTCAAAATGATTTCGGCATGGTAGATGATAATATTTGATACGTTTTAATAAATGTTCTTTGGCAAAGATTGGATCGAACAGTTCATCAACAGATCGACATCGATACGATGGATGGATTTGTGTAGATAGATATTCAAAAGAAATTGTTTTTTCACGTAGAACAATCAAATAATAATTATTGATTATTTGTGCAAAAGCGAGATTGAAAAATGTTGTAGTATAGAATGTCACTGAAGTATGATCGAATGTAACTTTTTTCATTATACTTGTTCGATTAGGTTTTTTATTATTTTGAACGGCGATGAAATGAATCAATAACCATGTTGGAATAGGTACTCGATGATCAAATGAGATGTCGATTTCAGTCTCTCTTTGTCGATATTCACAGCGATTGCCGACATAACCTAACGGACAAACACATCTATTCTGCTCCGAATGGATATAACGAATATCTCGAGGTATACACCATCCACCATTTAGACATAGTTGAGAATGACAGAAATATTCAGCGAGATGGCATCGAGAGCCAAAATGACCTAATGGACACAAACAAATTGATCTGCTAATGCATAATGAACCCGAGATACAATCACATTGATGTTGAATATCACATTGTGCACCTGACCACCCAGAACTGCAATGGCAAAATGTTAAACGTGGATGATTGATATAGGAATGACATTGACCATGAATACAGGGTGGCCAACATCTGTTCGCCATGTCTTTCGGAATTGATGAGGAAATACGAAGTAAAACGGATAGCCGTTGAACAGGAAGAAAGGCAAATTGCAACGGATATATCCAACTAGCTCGATATCTCCATGTTAATCGATCAAATGCCTTAATTTGTACGGAATGTGTTTGGGATGCATTTTTCGGTCTTGTTAAGTAGAGTAAATAAATATTAAATTTACTTCGACAATCTCGCACAGATAAATATTCAAAATAATCATGCGAGTGAATCGTGTGGTTCTTGTCAATGAGAGTAATGAGGAAAATGAAATGATCATTCCAATGCAATGAAACTCGAACTTGAACGGTTAGACTGACACGTTGATTTTGATATTGACATTGATCTCCATAATAACTAGGCGGACAAAGACATGTCAAATGAGAGCGATTTCCATGCATTCGAACCCGTATGGATACACCACGGTGACACCACCATGCTTGTTCAGTGGTAGAAATAATTTTCAAGTTTTCTCTCGTGGCACGAGTTTGGGTTTCCATTAACGATTGAGCTAAATTGTTGCGAGCTGCAGTAAAATGAAATGGATATGTTGGCATATTGGATAACTTGAAATAATTCAACGATCCCACATAACGTGTGTTACCAACATCACAAAGAAATTTCTCGACACTCGCTGAAGCAAACTGGTTTACGTATCGACATAATGGATACATTGAAGAGCCAGAATGCTGACAAAAGGTTTCATCCTCATGATATTTGCAATCGATGATTCTATCGCAGATTCGACTGTATGAAATCGATTTGATATCATTCTGACAATGAAAACGTTCAGAAAACTTTCCAAATTCAATTTCACGATACTTTGTTCGTTCGTCTGTTCCTCCTAGGCAGTCATCCGTATCATCATCCGTTCGATTTGTTGGTATACAAGAGACTTTTGAAGTATCATTGAAAAACACACAGCGATGTTGAAGGTCCGGACAAGTTGTCGGTGGACAATGAATTTCATCAGCTCCGTTTTTGCACGCCCAATACTTGTCACATCTGGTGTATGTATTATTACATGGCCAATATTGACAATTCGTCTCATCAGTATGATTTTCACCGTTAATGTCGACAGGTAATAATTGGACTTCTCCATCGCATATCGTTGGAAAATAGATGTGATATTCTTTCAACAGCGTCTGTTCTGAGCTTTCATCATCTCCATTTTTGCAATTGTCCTTACCATCACGAACAACTAACGCAGCAAAACATTTTTTGTCATCTCCTTTTGAACACTGGAAACGCTGATGAATATCAGCAAGTGAACAACTTTCATTAAATAGTTCATCATCATTCCATGGACAATCTTGAATCCCATCAAGAAGACGTTGTTGAGAAATACATTTGGCCGAATGTTGACATTGATACATATTGGAATAATTACAAGAATGCAATTCACTTTTAGTATTTAAACATGTACGAAAGCGATTTTTAATATTGATAATTAATCCTTCCAAATTGTCGTATGAACTTGTATTTCCCAATTCTGTTGCATTAAATCGGCGACAACTCAGATCACCGAAACGTTGCTCCGCTGGTAAAACATCTTGACAAAGTTTTTCATCATAACATAGATAATTGGGCAAGGGAATCGTCTTCGACTGAACGATCGTATTAGAAAACAACAAACGTACATGTCCAAGAATAGGTGGAATAGAACGAAATTCGTAGATCGATGAACAGTTATTTTTAATACAGTTCGTTTTCAAACAATACTTACAAGATTTATCCGTCATGATAGTCAATTGTAATAGGCAGGCCGTCGCATTCGAACAAAAGTTACCTGGTAAAACATTCCGACGGCCGTTCCTGCAGTATTCAAATCCATTTGTGCAGTCTCCATCACCGCAAGGGAAGTCTTCTTTTCCTCCTGGCCGACATCGACGTTCTTCGCAGGCAAAACTTAGATCTAAATCACAGCTCCAGCTTCTTTCTGAGACAGGAGGTTCATCAGTCATATCCAAGCAGTCGAATTGGTATGGATGATCATAAAGTAATTCTATAGGAATACATTGACCAATATGACATCGATATTCATTGTTAGCACATTGATTCAGTTCAAGCTCCCAACAATTCTCTTCATCAGAACCATCGAAACAATCGAATTTTCCATCACAAATATCTCGCCAATCCAAGCACGATAAGAATGTCTGACAATGAAAATGTTCGTAACATGTAAGTTTTGGATTTTTATTCATTCTAGATTTAAAATGAAGAGTAGTTTGAATCACTTCATGGAATGATTTATCAGTGCTAGACACAAACTGAAAACTACAGAATGGTCCAAACCATGATGATGAACAATTGTCAAATACCATGTCACTTGTCGACGATGAAGTGGAATTACTTATCAGAAATATTGCATATTGTTCAGCTAGATCAGTAGTAGCTGACCATAAAAGTAACATTTGACTAGTCACATTCATGTCTTTCAATTCAGCAAAAGTCCAACGACGAGCAACGAGATTTGCCATATCTGTGATTAATATCGAATAATTTTGTTCCGATCGTCGGAAGCAATAGGAAGTAACCTGATGCATGTAGGCACTAACACGATGAACATAATGACTATAATGTGGCAGTTCAAATGCATCATATGATAGAAGACAATATGGATCGAGATAATGATCCGTATTATACATGTTAAACTGACATTGTATCATTGCTTGCATTTGCCATAGAATTACTACGTAGAACGAGATCATGATGAAGAAAGAAATGATGATTTGAGAAAAAAATTAGCCGGACTATTTATCCTCTTCTTTTTTGAAATGACACGTTCAAGCAAACTATCTGTTTCCTTTTGCATATGCATCAGACATGATTTATATGCCAAACTCATGTCGAAACGATTATCAGAAAAGTTTATTCTAGAAATCGTTACGTAGTTTTTTTTTTATTATTATAATGCTTGGTAATGTTACACTTCGAACTGCTTACATGAGGATAGACGATAATCAAAAAGGGCGTGGGTGGGTGTGGTTTGTGGGTGGGTAAGTGTGGGTGTGGGTGTGGATGTGTGGATGTGGGTATGTGGATGTGAGTGGGTGGGGTGTGGGTGGGTGTGGATGTGGGGGTGGGTGTATGGATGTGGGTGTGGGTGTGGGTGCGGATGTGGGTGTGGATATGGGTGTGGGTGTGAGTGTGGGTGTGGATGTGTGAGGTGCGGGTGTGGGCGTGGGTGTGGATGTGTGGGGTGTGGGTTTGGGTGTGGGTGTGTGGGTGTGAGTGTGGGTATGGGTGTGGGGGTGGGTGTGAGTGTGGTTGTGGGTGTGGGTGTGGGTGCGGATGTGGATGTAGATGTGGATGTGCGTGTAGGTGTGAGTGTGGGTGTGGAGTGTGGATGATGTGTGGGTGTGGATGTGGGTGTGTGGATGTGGGTGTGGGTGCGGGTGTGGATGTGGATGTGTGGGTTTGGGTGTGGGTGTGGGTGTGGGTGTGGATGTGGGTGTGTGGAGTGTGGGTGTGGGTGCGGGTGTGGGTGCGAGTGTGGGTGTGGGTATTTCCATCATTAACACCCACACCCACACCCACACCCTCACCCGCACACATTCACACCCACACCCAAACCCACACCCACATGCACACCCACACCCACACCCACACCCACACCCC